ATTATTATTCCACATAATTACTTACAGTCAGGAAAGGTGGTCTTTAAATGTTTGGGGTTACATTATCAGTGAGTACGTGATAGGACATCATTTTTTTAACGAACCTGTAAATGGAGAATTGTACTTAGACTTTCTAGTGAATTCTTTACCAATATTGCTTGAAGATCTTCCTCTTAAACTACGCCGGAAAATGTGGTATTTACATGATGGTGCTTCTGCTCACAATAACGCTCTTGTAAATGGCGAACTTGCAGATCAATTTCCAGGAAGATGGATAGGAAGAGGCGGGCCAATCCGTTGGCCAGCCCGGTCACCAGATTGAACTAAAATGGACTTTTTTTTCTGGGGCTACGTTAAGGCCAGAGATAACAGAGATATAAGAAGTCATTCATAAAATATAATATTCATGGTGCCAAGAACACTTTGCACTCAAAACATTCTATTTCTAGACGCGGGGCGAGGCGACGAAAGGTGAGAAGTAAAAGAAGGGATGTATCCCTTCTTTTTCACTGTAGTGAAGAATTTTACATAGTTTTATCAATGAATAACTGCCCGAGCTTTTACTACTTAACGTAACTTTTCTTGCCGGTGTAAGCCCTGTTGCCACTTCCAATCTAACATCACTAGGTTTTGGAATTTGTTGAAAATTATTACATCTAATTTAATGAAATTACATCTAATTTGGTTAAAAATGCCTATTTTTTGTTCTAATGCTCAATTAAGTCTTTGTAGGAAGTATTTTTTTATAATTATTTAAAAAAAATCATATACATTAGCCCTTATGATCGAAAAAAAATTTAAATGTCTCAGTTTCAACCGTCTACAAATTTGTATAAAAAATCTTCTTTTAGAAATATACCTCTCATTTGACGAAAAACGAAGGCCTAAATGAAAAAAACTATTCTTTATAAAAGTTTCGCCTATGTATTGACAAGGTAAAAGTACTTTCCTCATATTTGTTGCTTTTAAATTAATAAAAATATAGCAATAAACCATTAGTGATGTCATGGTTTTACTAGAAAGCAAACATTAAAGGCAGAGCCTATCGACTCTTTATGCATCTATCTCAGTATTGAAATGTATGCAATCAGTTTGACCCCTCTTATATTATTTTATGCAGGGATTATTGATTTATCCACCATGTTTAATAGGGTGTACTAATTACTTCAAGATTTCTTTTTTATTTTTAATGAAAATAAGAAAATATAAACTATTTATTAAAGGTATTTATTAAAGTATCAATTATAAACAGTAAGGCTATTGCTTTGCAAAATACAATAAATCCCCAATATAAATAAATTATAATAATAATAATAATAATTGGAAGGAAGTATATAAAGCATAAATTAATAATATTAAAATTTATAATTACAAGACTTTCAAACTAATCAGAATCAGATTCACCACACGAATCAACATTTTCCAAAACATTAGCGGCTGTGGTCAAACTATTTCTGCAGTTTTTCTGTGCCATACAGGTGCAGGAACCGATACAGTAAATATTTTTTTCCTGCATTTGCAAATTTTGCTTCCACAGTCTAGAACAGAATATTATTGTTAGAATATTGTATAGTATGTTTTTTGCATTTGCATGATGTAAGTTCTGTTATGTCTGGTGGCAGGTCGGGCAGAGTCTTAAAAGTGGGTATCAGACTTCCATCTGGATCTACTTTCCATCCATACTCTTCAACATTGGGAACCTGCATCTGGGTTTAAAGAGGTTAGCCAAATATTTAGCTGGTAAAAACATCTTAAACAATGTAGTCTTAGGGCGTCTTCAGTCGGCAGTAATTTAGCGATGGTTTTTGAAGAGGTCAATAATCCCCTCAAAATGTTAATGAAAGTAACATTGGCAGTTTTGAATACATTTTTAGGAAAATTCTTTCAAGATTAGAGAATATGTTTTCAGAGTACTGATCAGTGCCAAATCCATCCAAAAAGTAATGGTTTTCAAGGTAGGTTTTCCAACAGGTTTTGTTCCCAATGCCGGACAATTAAATGGTTGTATCACAACCGGTCAGAATGAAAAGCAGGCATATTTTTTAGAAGGTTTTCATCCAAATTTAAATAATGTACTGCTAGAAATCGTCTTGAGTCTCCTCGCCCTGTTCTGAACCATATATCTTTAGTCAAAAACTTCTTAAAATAAATTAATAAGACATCTGTATCGTTGCAATAAATAATGCAGCGTGAATGCACCGAATTTTTGGCTGACAATGGGGTCTATTCTGTAAAAATTAATTTATATTTAACGGCCTTTAAAAATATTTTCTTCTTTAATTCGGTCACTATTTAAACGGATCTTCAAAATACATTAGAGGACTATCTTAAAGAAATCTGTTTAAATAATGATAGAAGTAAATTAACGAATACAAATATACTTTTAAAGGCCGCCAATATTTTTAAAGGCCGTTAAATATAAAGGAATTGTTACAGAATAGACCCCAATATGTGCAATGAGATACGATTATTAGCGTCTTCGTGATTTGAATTTAAAAAAATCGTCTTTTGATGGTTCAAAATTCTTTCCATATTTATTGATTTTCGCGAATCCACCACTAGTTAGAAATTGAATATGCTTTTGCTGAATGGAGTTTTGAAGAAGTTGCTCTGGCAGAAAATGTGTTAAACGTCTTTTGTTAAATATCTAATGAATAAACAAGTTCTATTGTTGCGGAAGTGGAATATTGGGTCGGTCAATTTCTATATCAATTTATTTCTGAAATCCTCTCTTTTGACGTGTTGTATTTTTGATAGAATGTCCTTTATAATGATCAAATACCACATCTATCATTTGAGCATTAAATTTATTTCTAAAAATAATGTTTACAAATATATGAGCATATTCTTTAAATGATATGCAACTTTTGGGCTTTCCTATTTTGATATAATTTTTGTCTCTGCTACTTGCAGCAACAAATCCGTAATTAAAATTTTAAAGGAAAACTTATAACTTACCCAAATATATTTAGCTGCAACAGGATGAATGTAGATATAATAAAGATGCAAAAATGTCTATATTTTTTCCCAATTTATTAGGTAATTTAATATATAACACATACACTTATTAATTCTTTAGTAAAAACAGATAACAATATGACACATTGCCCTATGGAACATAACAAGAAGTTTTATAATAAAAAAAATGAAAAATCCTACCATATCAATAATGTGATACATCAGCCCGCACGTAGAGAGAAACAGAGCTATACTACGTTTGAAGGTGAAGAGAAAGATACACTGAGAGTCGATAAATTTGACGGTGAGAATTAATTACAGCATAAACCTATGACATCTCTCATCGTTTATTGTTATATCTTTGTTAATTCAAAAGCAAAAAATATAGTGTTTTCTCTGTTACCTTCTCAACACATAAGCAAAAATTTTATAAAGAATGTTTTTTTTTTATTTAGGCCTTCGTTTTTTGTTAAATGAGTGGTATATTTAAAAAAGACGACTTTTTAACTAAATTTTTGAAGGGCTAAAACCAAGATATTTACGTTTATATTTTGTTTCGGCCGTAAGTGCTAATGCAAATGATTTTTTTTAAATAAGTATAAACAATTACTCCCTACAAAGATTTTATTGTGCATTTGACCAAAAAATTAGTATTTTTTTCTCTATTCGGTGGTATCAATATCTGGATTTTTGATGATAGTGCCCTTCTGCACAGTCTAATTTTGTATTAACTCCGGAAAAAGGGTTACCTTATCATGACCTTTCATCTGTGAAAAATTCAGCTATGTGACAAAAGAGTGGGAGGTGAATCGTTTTCTTGAGCGAATATTTTAATACATACACTTTACTAACAATGACAACAGCGGATATTATACCCACAATATATTGTGATTATACCCTACTGTGTCCCTTAGAATATGTCTTATTCACGGCCGCACGATATTTGTTAATAGTTACATCTCCTGGTTATCTCTGGTTAAGGCTCTAGTGTATAAAATACCTCCAACTACAGTAGATGATATGAAAATACGAGTAAGAGAGGCATTTCAAAGTGTTGCTGTGGAAATGCTTAGAAATGTGAGTCGGAACTTTGAAAACCGTCTTTAGGCCTGCATAAATATGGGAGGCCACTTTAAATAACTGTTCTAATTAAATATAATTTGAAAAAATTACAGTTAAATAATAAATTATGAATTTGTGCTAGCTATTGATATTTTTTCTTTCCTAATTTAAAAATTGATAATAAATTACAGCTGGTTAAATTGTAATAATTACTAATTATCAAACAGAATGTATTTTCTATCAATTAGTTTCTGAATTATCGTTTTTACCACTAAAATTTAAAAATTTTTAAAAACTGTTACTTTTGGTATTGGGAATGCTTAAGTCAAATTAAAGTATAATTAGGATTTTAACGATGATATAAAATACAGAGTGAACCATTTAAAAAAATTGAGAAAATTATGAATTTGTGTTTTGACTCACCCTGTACAGATGTGATGCGAATTGAAAAAAGTAGTGTCTCCGGATAACATTTGACCATGATTGAAAAATTGTGGTAGAAAAAAAAATTGGTTATCAATGGTTTCTTTTGCATGATATAGGTCATTGAATTCAATACGTTTTTCATAAAAAACTGATTATATCCTGCTATATATATATAAACCAATAATAATTTATATTTTTAGAATGGGAAAAGCGAGAGCACTTCAAATATAAAATAAAATACAGGTTGATCCATTAAAAAGAACATAAGTTGGTTCCAGAGAGAAGTTATTTAACACCCTGTATATTCAAAAATAATTTTAAAATATGAAGTTTAGCGCTGTCTACCGTTCTGTAAAAATATTTTTTTACATCTCTAATAATGACGGAGATATTGGACTTTTTTCACACTTATGGATCCCCCTGTATGTTTAATTATTTTATTCTCTTCTAAAATTGAGTCAGTCGCTTTTACTACAAAAATTTCAAAAAAACTTAATTTTTCTGTCCCTCCACAACTGAAAATTGTAATTATAGTAAAAAAATTTACTTACATTTTACTCCTCAGGCTTAGCACGTGGTGCTTCATAAGGCGGAGGTTCTTCTTCAGTAATCAACTTCAACCTAACAATATCAGACGAAGAGTCGTATACAGCACCTACAGACGGTACCATAATATTCTCCATTTCCACGCTATCCGTCTTCAAAGGAGGAGGCGTTGGTTTGCGTTCCCTGAAAGACAACGCTCTGTGTACCCCAGAAGACGGAAGCAAAGACTCCTGCTGCGTTTCATTATTACCGTTACAAGTTCTTTCGGACCTCCAATTCTCGAACCTGCAGGCAGGAACTCGTCTGGACGCTCCATCGAAACAAGGCAGTACCTGTTTGAATTCTTTTCTGAAATTTTCGTTGAGCCAAGCGTACAGAAATGGGTTGTAGCATGTCGACGACATAGCTACGGCGTGCGCCATGAAGAAAATTAGATAGTAGAATCCCCATTTCTCCATTTGCTGGTTAAAATCATTGATAATGTTAAAAGCATTCAGTGGCAACCAGGATACTAGAAACACAGCTACCATCGCTATCAACATTCTATTGGTGCGCTTTTTTCTTTCTCTATCGGCTTCTTCTTTCCTAGAATTCTTGGAACCGGGTTTGGACCTTGCTCTGTCGTTGAGTTTCATGGATACGCAGATGTAGCAAAACGCCATAATCAAGAACGGTATTAGGAACTGCATGGCTGTCGTAATACCCCCGAAAGTTCTTCTCCAATCCTCACTAGGCCAGTTCTCGTCACAAAAAAACTTTTCGGAATTGGATTCGGCCGGTATGAGCTTCACGTAAACGCCATAAGGTAGCGTTACTAGCATGCTGAATACCCAAATGATAACGATGATTAGGATGCAAGTAGACAGCTTCATTCTGGGATGAAACGGGTATATAATTACAAAATATCTATCTATCGCGATAGACGTCAGCGTTAAGGTCGATATATAAACACTGATACCTTGCGCGTACGACACTAGGTGGCATATGGCTCTGCCGAACACCCATTCTCCAAGAAAGGTATACAAGGGGGTGAAAGGTACAGCTAGGACGCACAGTAAAATGTCCGATAAAGCTAGATTCGTAATGAACAGGTTGGTCACTGTTTGCATGGCTTTGTTTCTAAACACCACGTAACATACTAGCACGTTACCGAATATCCCCATCACGAATATGGTGGTATACACCATAAAGAACGCCACTTGTACTGTGTTGTCGTTGATGATGTCTTCGCTTGTGGTGTTGTTGGAAACACCGGCTGCCATATTTGGATATTTCTATAGCCCGTTGTGGAATTGCATGACGAAATGTGTGTGTGGATTATCTTGCGTTAGCACCTGCGAACAAAATAAACTGTTTAGTGTTAATTTGTATGATTAAATTTCCGTTGTTTGGTATATTATTTGTGGTATTTCGGGAGACTGAATTTATTTTAGTAATTATTACGTTTTAACGGTGCCAATTTATGCTTTCTTGTATTAGTCTAGGTAGGCGTTGAATATTAATATAAAAGATATTAATTATACAGGGTATAGACAATTTATATGCATATTTTTTGAATTTGGTAAACCACTTCCAACTAAACAGAATATTTTTTATTAGAGTAAACAGATATACAGGGAAATCTATTAGTGTAAAAAAGTTCAATATCTTTGGCACTACTAGATATATAAAAATAAACTTATTGCAACATCAATGCAATACTAACTAGAGAAGTAGCATTTCCAGGAAATTTCCTTTAAAGATTAATTGTCCGTATGTTTATAAACTAACACAATTTAATATGACTTAAATTTTGAATAGAATACATTATGTGGTGATATTGCATTTTAAGTTTGTGTACTTTTTATATCTAGGATTTCGAGTTGCTTTAGAATTTATTGAAGAACAGTAGTAATAAACTGAATATTTAAAAATTAATTTTCAAACATACAGGTTGTTTAAAAACGTCAGTCTGGACCAAACTTATGTATTTTTAAGCAGATCCCTTTATATTTTATTATATAATTGAATTACCCTCGTCTTCTGTGACTTCACAAAAGCATTTGGCGTGAACCACGGACTGATACTGCAGAAGCTTTATCATTGTTTTTTTGAAAGAGATGGAATCTTACTTGTCTTAAACGGAACAGTTTCTTAGAACGTGTACTGAATGTTAAGTTAGCTGTTCCTAAATGGTCAGTTCTAGGGCCGTTTTTAATTTATGTAAAGGATTTAACATTTCTTGATATTCCAGCCGATTAGACATTATTTTTTAGAGTATCTTAAGGTATTTATTATTAATTCTAACAAATAGTGCCTATACATACATAAAATATTTAATTTTCGTTATACACATATTTATAATCTTTTTTAGAAAGTAACAGTGAGTACCTGACAACTCTTGTTGTAAACTCAGAAGGTTGAGAATTAATGAAATAATCTAGCTAATATTCAACTTCTTAGGATATTTTTGTATAAATATTCGTAAAATAAAAACATACTGGTATACTGATAATACGGGGTGACACACTAAAAACTTCTCACCGTGAATATCTTCCTTCCAGTAAATAATATGAATAATCGCAAAAACCCGTCAATTTTATTTTCAAGGGGGACACCTACAATGAATACTTGTGGATCAACCTCCTAGGAGGAGTAGATGTTACCCTTAAAATCTTAAATGGGAAAGGGGGTCAATTGGCACTTTATTTTAAAGGACGTTTTATTCTCTTTCCAATGGTACCATAATTTATTATTTTCTGACCTGCAGGTTCTGAAAAATTGCATTTTAAAGTTACAGAAGTTGGAACGTGCCTGCATTGAGATTCTTGGTTTTTCGTTTAGTAATTAAACAAAAATTATTCTATCGTGTTGAATAACAGAACGTGACTTTACAAAAATAACTTTTAATTTGCACAAAAAATTTAAAAAAATAAAACACATAGGATCTACTTGTACACCATTTTAAAAACTGTTGTCCATTGTACTGTAAACAGTAATAAAGTCTGTTTCCGAACTCCTCTCTAACATTTCAGAAACCTTCACCGGGAATTGACCGGCATGCTGTTATAATTTGCCTTTTAAGATTATCAGCAGGTTGTGTTTCATAAACAACGGATTTAAGATATCCCCAAAGAAAACAGTCTAAGGGAGTTAAATCAGGTGGATCTGGGGGCCATTCCATAGCTCTCCTTCTGCAAATCCAACTGTCTCGTTTATCGACTGTTGGACGGGAAGAAAAAAATGAGGTGCAGCACCGTTCTGCTGGAAATATAACAGATCCTTCTGTTAAAATAAATTACATTTTGTATCAATTTGAGTTTCTTGCTCGTGAGTTATAAGAGGATCATCAATAGTCTCTTCAAGTATAATATTACCCATTACCCTACATTGTGCTGCGGTTGTCATAAGTAAAGGTGCGAGTAAAAGAAGAAGGGACAATATTCGAGAAATGTCTGGAAATTTCATTCCTTGTCAAGAAAAATCTGGACAGTTCGAGAAGGTTCAAGCAAGACACATGACATGTTTCGAGGTACAACTTCTTTTTCAAATGTTTTTTTAATTTTTTAATTTTAATTTTTTTAAAATAAAAGTTTTATGAAAAGCTTCCAAATTTGGTTTTACTCATTTAAGATAATATGGATTTTCATCAAGTAAAGGCTGAAACAATAAATAATGTATGATAGATGTTATACGTTAATGTTTTCAGTTGTATAGTTATTGTAACATTGGTGACAGCGGTGGGATATATAATAAAAAGTACCTAAGGGCTATTCATGGTAAATACTAGATCCAAACAGATATGCATACTTTAGACATGATTTTTGAAGATGGAAGAGTAGAGAAAAAGGAGAGAAGAGGAAAGGGATAGGCGAGAAGAGGAAAAGAAAAGGCGTAGGAAGAATGAAGAGAAGGAAAAGGAAAGGCGTAGAAAGGAAGAAGAGGAGGGAAACAAAAGACGTAGGAAGAAGAAAGAGGAGGAAAAGGAAATGCACAGGAAGGACGAAGAAGAAAAGAAAATGCGAAAAGGGGAGAAGGAGGAGAGGCATAGAAAAGCAGAGGTGAAAATTATGAAAGGCTTGCTACAAATTCAAGAAAACTTCAGACAAGAGGTACGTCAGCTAAATAGTCGAATAGATCTCTTAGCACAATATTAGGAGAATTTAAAAATCAATTTAAAACAACAAGAAACTGCTAGAGTAGAGTTAGAGAGGCAAATTAGAACTGAACTAGTTGAAATAGTGAGAATAATTTGTAGCCTAGCTCTGTTAAGAAACAGAGAAACTGCAAACACTACTTCGTCCTCATCTATAACCGAACCAAGCCATATACAACACCCAGTTTCACAAAGCCATACTAGCAAGACCATTAAGCCACCCACGTTTGACGGTTAGACAACATGGGAAACGTATCGACTCCAATTTGAAGCTGCAGCTAGATCCAATAGCTGGTCTGAAAAAGAGATAATGGCTTTCTTGATAGTGTCGCTGCGAGGACAGGCAGGAACCGTTTTACAGTTACTTCCCCAAGAAGAAACAAGTTTTGCATCTCTCGTCCAAGCTTTGGAGACGAGATATGGCCAGCAGCATTTGTATCGAGTATTTCAAAGCCAGCTAAAGGTTCGTAGTCAGTAACATAATAAGAGTCTACAAGAATTCGAGGCCGATATAAGAATATTGATTTATCTGGCCTATCCACAGGCGCCCAAAGATTTCCAAGAACAAAGCGAAATAGAGACATTCGATGACTACAAGATGTGGTAAGCCTTTCATCTGCAACATCACAAGACGCTGAAGAGAAACTGATTGCAGTCCAGGAATATGAAGCAGTAAAACTCCTATCCAGATCTTCTCGCACATGAGAGAAATTAAATCCCAGGAAAGTGAGGAGGCCAATACTAATACTATTCCCCAACCTACCCTCTCATAAATCTTAAATATCCTGCAAAATATGCAACGACACAGCCAAAATGGAAGCAGGAGATGCTTTAATTGCGGGAGAATCGGGCACCTTCAAAGGACCTGCAGAAGCAAGGTTCGTTTTATAAATCAAGAGTCAGGAAATGAAGCCAGAAAGTCACATAGATCAATCTCTCAAAGCTCGTCACGAGGTCCAACAACAAATAATTACAGCAGTTAGACGTCACGAAGAAGCCGATGACCGACACCTAACTGACTTTCTAGCAATAACCAGGTAGTAGAGCATTGAAGAGGCCGTCTCCATTGCAACGCAGACATTCTCTCCAGGCGACCCTGTTTAGGAAGAGAATGCCGGTACAGTAAAGGGCTCGGAGAACGAGAAGAACCGGTTGATAAAGGTACCCTTCGGGTAACCACTATTAAGCCAGAGGGCGACGAAGAAGAAATTACCCTTGAAAACCTGAGAAAAGGTTAGAAGAAAGACAATGACTTGAAGCTTGTCCAAGAATGGATCAAAAATAAAGTCACACCTAATTGGCAAGAGATAGCCAAAAACAGTGAAGCTATTAAACGGAACTGGATTCCCTGTATCTTCACGATGGGCTATTGCACCGGAAGTGGAAGAGCCATGATGGAGTACATGTAGCCAACTAAGAGATAATACCGAAATCACATGTCAGAAGTGTATTGAAGGAGCTTTATAGCAGTAGTTCGGGAGTACGTTTCCGTACTAAAAGGACACTGGCACGAGTTCGGGAAAGATTTTATTGGGTCAATTGCCGACGGGATGTAGCGGATTGGTTTAAAAAATGTGATCTATGCAATGGCAAGACAAAGGTCTACGGATTTGCTCGGGAACGTCTGAAAGCCAACAGCGACAAAGCAGAAGCTAGAATCGACATGCGTGCCACCAGGACACATTTTAAGAGAGCCTAGTATAACTGTGCAATCCCAAGCGCCGGGGAGGGCTTTGTCAGAAACTGCAACAGAACTAGAATGGCATCTACACCGTTCCCGGGAAAAATCAACGACCTACCGCATCCGGCTGTCAGCGGGAAGCAAACCCAAGGTAGTTTACATTGGAAAGTTAGCACCATACCGTGGTTCAGATCCTCCTCGTTAGCTCTAACAAGGTCCCAGAGAGAGGGGAGCAATGTTACCCATAACCATACACTGTGCTCCGGTCGTCATAAGTAAAGGTGCGAGTAAAAGAAGAAGGGAGAATATTTGAGAAATATCTGAAAATGTTATTCCTTATCAAGAAAAAGCTGGACAGTTCGAGAAGGTTTGAGAAGCTATATAAGCTATATAAGTCAGTTTTCAGTTTTATGATAGACGATATTCGTTAATGTGATCAGTTGTAT